CACATAGTTTGACTGCTATTTAAAGGGCTGAATACAGGATAGGGGCTGGCAGTTTGAGTATTGATTGTAGTATTGAGGAACAAAATTTTGAAAGGGCTTCACTCAGGTGACAGCCCTTTAGCATAACTAATCCAATCAATAATGTACACAACTAATATCTCCAAAATATCTCTGATACATGCATATGCAATGTACCAACTGTGAATGTTTCCGATCAATAATTTGTTAAGAAAACAATTTCAATTGGAATCAGCTCAAACTTTCTACACAACATAAGAACATGTATATGTATCAGAAAATGTAATAAAAATGGAGAATTCTCTCCTAGTCATTTATGGCAAAATTTGGCACCATAGTACAGGGACTTTGGCCCGATTTTGGAGCAACTTCAAAAATTAATATAAATCCATACACAGCATAAGTACATGTGTATGCATCAATAGCATCAAACCTCCTGCTCTCGGTATATACGTCACATCAGTCATCTCCATATCAGATCCAGCTATATTACTGATGCTGAAGGAATAAGTACCAGCGTGATTAGCATCAAGAGAAGTTATGATGAGTTCAAATCCATTGTCACTAAGGAAGCGTCCTTTACTGATATCAGATTCAACGATCTCACCGTTGTGTCTCCAGACTGGATTTACAGCTGCTGGTACTCCAGGATGCTCCATCAGTCCTTGTATTCTGATGTAGGAGCCGTTACCAGCTCTGATATCAGTTCCCACTGCAACCATAGCAACCCTATCGGTTACAACAGTACCATTACCGGAATTAATCATAGGTACTACGAAATAAGTGGTCGTTATATTGTGATGGTTCCCGGTGATGTCTTCGGCCAGACTAAAAACGCTAGTGACAAAGGCACGGCCATTAAACGGACTAACACAGAGCAGCTGTGGAGCAGTGAACACCCGGTTGGTGTTTCTATCGTAATTGAAGACACCTTCGTGAGTTACTTGAACAAGGAAATTAATATTAGTCACGGGAGCCGGTAGGGAGTTCGAATATATTGATTTACCGCTGTATATGAACTGGTCTATGGAACTCCATGGGTAGCAAACGTCTCCTAGCAATGGCTGGACAGAATGAACGGTTGTACCAGCTACTATATCAATACGAGGTCCTGTCTTAATAGCTTCAAGTTTACCAAACAACGGAGTACCAAACTGAACAGTTGTAGTACCTCTAACAGGAGATTCAAAGTTCATTCTTGTCTCTGTATTAGTGACTATGGTACCATCAGGGTAAACTGCTCTTAGGTCTATCCGATAGTTGCCCCCAAGGAAGTCAGAGCCGCTTATGTTGACAACGGTTTCAAAGTTACCATTGAATATAGTGCGAGTTATGATTGCTATGTCATTCTGTGGAATACCACGACGAGATGTAATAGCTATAATGGAGGGGGAAATAAATAATAATAATAATATTGTTAGATCTATAAACGAATTTAATGAGCAATCTAACTATAAATGGGAGACTCAGCCTAAATATGAGATATACCAAAAGCTAAAAAATGAGGAGACTTTAGGCCCAATATGAGAGACAAAAAGTCTCCTAAACTCCCTCTAGATCTAACAGTGGTAATGATTTCACTTACTCCCTGGGCAGTCGTGAGTGTTACATATTTCAAAGGACGGTGGCATGTCACTGGCTGAACACATGGTTGACGGTTGCCCTGACAACATACAGAGGACGGCCCTCACTCGCACACTGCCATTACAGACCCTGAAACACTATAAATAAATAAATAAATAAATAAATAAATAAATAATAGTAAAAATAATAATAAATTAATACTGCTTACATCAGAGAATGAGCCAGTAACCCACATTGGTGAAGGTGGTGTCGGAGTCCCCACAGAAGGTGGAGCAGTAGCTACTTCCTGTTGAATTACTACTTCAGTGGAAGCACTATCAGTTCTAAATCCGTTATCAACAGTGCAGGTGTAGGTTCCTTCATCTTCAGGATCATCAGTTGTCTGTATGGTGAGGGTATCACCTGATATCAAGTAATTAACATTATCGTTGACTATAGGAGCACCGTCTTTAAACCATCTGTAGCTAACACGATCAGGAACTCCGTTATCAATCACACGACAAGACAATGACAGTCTGTGGAGCTCCTCCAGTATCCTTACTCTTGGGGTACCAATCTGGAATACGTCATCAGTCCTTGTGATAACTGGGGGCTCTGGGGTCGGTCTAGTTTCATCTATCATCGGAGCTCGGAGTGTCCCCCTCAAGTTATTATAAGGAGTTGTGAGTTCGTTAGTGAAGTCACGAGTTAGAAGTGCTTTATTGTTACGATGACTAATAGCTAGAGTAACCGGGCCGGGCTCGTCCTGCGGGAACATATTAAGAAACATGATACTCTGTAATCTATCTAGTTTAGTGACCATGGTAACGGAGACGTTCCTACCGTCAAATGATAGTACGCCATTGTTATAAGAGACAGATCCACTTGTGGTGATCACTTCATCACTACGATTATTATTATCATCGGTCCTAATCACTGTAATAGGGAACATCATACCATTGTAGTTATAGTTTATAGTAAAGTCGGTAATGGTAGAGTTGAGTGTCCTATCAACAAAGCTGGTCTCAAGGTTGATGTTGTTGTTAATCGCTAATGCCCCATCCACCCTCTCCTGCACAATGTTATACATGGATCCAGTCTCCATACAGCGGCTATTGAATGTTATCATGTACGTGTCGTCATTAGCACTGGAGGCTATGTAAAATATGCCCCGCCCATACAAGCTACCATCTTGTGTAGTCATATTGACTTCCCTGACATCAGGGGCCGGGACGTTAAGGAGTGTATTAGGATCTGGAGGAAAAAGGAAAGAAGGTTTAACAATAAGAACAAGTGCACATGTAGGGGTAATTTTGGAGGGGGAATTTGGAGCTTTTATAACTATTTGCCAAAACTTATTTTGAATCATCCATTATGTATATGTATGCTAAATAATTTTCTCAATATTATAACTTACTGTTGCAGTCCTGTAGGTTGCACACTTCAATAAATGGAGGTATGTTAGTGGAGGAAGGTTCGGTGGGTTGAGTACATGTTTTTACATGATCACCAGCTGTTGTTTGACACTTTAACTGCCTGACCCTAATGCCACCACCACAAGTACGGGAGCACTAAAATAAATAAATAAACAAATAAATAAAATTACAGGAGTTTCATTACTAATTATTAGTGGTTATTAATATTTATTAATAGTTATTAACTCACTGGTGTGTAAGCATACTCAGCCCAGGATGATCCGTCAGAATTAAAAACAAAAGCTGTGTCAGGATTACCTGGGGATATAGATTCCTCAGGTATTGGAGTCATGGTAGGAGGTGGAGGAGGCAGAGTACTCGTGACGTTAAACATTGAGAATATAGTGGAAGCAACGTCAGACCTACTGACAAAGAAAGACAGGTTGTTAGGAGTGTAGTACAGGTAGCCAAATCCAAATGGCATTGAAGAAGCAGATCCATTAAACGACATTGGCTCATCATTATTTGGAGTATACATGGTGAATGTATTTGCTGGTATACTAGACCCACTCATCTCATTAGTGACAACATTAGTGACACTGATCGTAGAGTTGCTATACGTAATGAACTCGTAACTTTGAACAGGACGTACCAATGCATTATCCAATGGTATTATATCCCGCCCACCAATGACCAGAATCATGTTATTGTTATTGTCCACTCTAGTGCCTACTGTTTGAGATGGAGTTGATATAACTGTCTTAATAGCATCATTAATCTCAGGACGGTTGCTAACAACGATACTGTTTGAACCGACAGATATTGTCTGTGGTCCTTGAATCTCAACTGGTGTACTTGATAGAGACGAAACGTTAACTTGATCTGAGTTAGACTGATACTGAATCAATGTGTTGAACATTTGATTCATTGAGCTGAATGCAATAGACCCATCCTGATTGATAACAGAATACCCTGTGTTGCTGAACCTAACGCTCTGGACTGAACTAACTGATAAAGTGGTCTCCTCAGTAATAGGATTAGTGACCGATCCTCCAATAGTAAGGAACGGGTTACCATCAATTGTAGTGACTCCACCGCTGAAAGTAGTAGGAGGATTAGCAGACCTAATCATGTCAATGGTCTCGGGGTTATCGGTGAAGAAAGCATTCCCTGATATCTCATTATAGACTAACTGACCACTGCCTGGCACATTAAGAATTGATCTGCTCTGGAGGACGCCATTTCTATCGTAATAGTAGAACCGTCTGATTTTATCACTGAGAAGCTGTATAGTACCAGCTCTTCGAATGAAGAGATTGGGTCCATTGTATCCAACCACTTCATCCGAAGTCACGTTACGCTGTGTACTGCCAGTCAATGATATGAGATTAATATCACTGCCAGTGATACGGTCAATGGCTCGCACTATAGGATAC